GGGTTTAGGGTGTGCGGTTGAGGGTTTATCGGGCCCGGGGGTTGTAACAGGCTTCAGGGCTTTGGAGCATCAGGGCTTTTGGGGGCCTATGGTGCATGAGCCCTTTAGGGTTTAGGGAGTAGGGGTTTAGGGTTTGGGGTTTAGGGTTTCCGGTTGAGGGTTTAGGGTTTAGGCATGAGAATTCTTCAACTCGCCGAGTCTAAGGCCAAAACCAGAAAGCCACAAAGGCTGCAGGTCTCAGGAGCCATTCACGAGGCAGAGTTTAAGGTTCAGGGTTCAGGGGTTTGGGGTTTAGGGGCTTGGGGTTTAGGGGCCGGGGGTTTAGGGTTCAGGGTTTCGGGATTTAGGGTTTAGGGCTCAGGTGCCTCAGGTTGTCATGACAGGACAACCGACATGGGTTGCCGTTGTAAACACGCAGGCAGCAACTGCCACTGCGCGCCAGCACTTCCTGTAAAACTCTGTAACCCTAGACTCTAAACCCTTGGAGCACCAGGAAAATTCAGGAGAACCCATCAGACGCTGTAAACACCCCAAATCTTTCCTGTAATATCCATTAAGCCCTTCGTCAAATCCCATACAAATACGGCTTTAAATCCCGTAAGCCCTAATCACTAAACCCCTAAACCGCTAAGCCCTAAGCCCCTAAACCCCGACACCACTAAACCCTAAACTCTAAACCCTAAACCCTAAACCCCATAACCCTAAGCCCTATAACAATAAAAGCCCTACTTTTAAAGCCCTAGCAGCCCCGGACAAGCCCGAGGATGGCAGTCGGATTGGCCGACGTTCTTCGAGCACCAAAGGCTGCAGCCTCTCCTACAGGCTGTGGAGGCGGGAGAGGTGTACATGATCTTATCATACACGGTTAAGGTTTAGGGTTTAGGGTTTAGGGTTTAGGGTTTAGGGTTGGGACACGTTCATTTGGCCGAATGACATCACATCAAACCACTTTGCTCCAGCAAGGTCACAGTGTCAAAACAGTAGCCTGACATGAATCGAAGGAACCCAACAGCCGAATAGTTGCGCATGTCCGTGACTAAAGTGTTCGACCAGGATGCAGATTGAAAACAACACACCATCAATTTCATACCACCCGGTGTCAGGCAGTTTCGACAGGTACACTCGAGCATAAGTCTCGACTGCCATGACAGATGGTTGGAAACTTGTCCCTCGTGAACTTGTTCCTCCGCTGGTCATTGCAACGGTGCTGCATGTCTCGTTGGGCCTTGCATTCTGGCCGTGGGTAGAAGAAACGCAGCCTTGGCTTGCAATGCTATCTGTTTCGTTCGCATGACATGCTAAATATCAATCCGTCAAGACTTACGACGCACTGTTTAGCGCGGCAGTCCCAAGCGTTTCTCACATCCTAAGACCTCCAAATTAGACCCTAAACCCTAAACCCTAAACCCAAACGGATCTAAACATTAGATCCTGAATAATTACGCAGCAGGCTAGAATGGGATTACATAAACGCTCTACTAAGGGTTTAGGGTTTAGGGTCTAGGGGACCCAATTTTCAGATCCTTTTGGGGGTTTGGGATGTAGCCTCGGAGCGCGATGAGCCTTCCAGCACCCAAGGCTCGATGAAGAAGTTCAATGCGCTTGGCTGGACATGCTTGCGTTTGTCCTCCAGATACTCAGCCAAGCAGTTTTAGGGTTTAGGGTTTAAAGGTAGGGAGACGAAACTTACTGGTTGTTGGTAGGGGAAAAGGGAATATGTTCGAAATCGATTATATGGAGATTTTATTCCCTGAATCCCTACTAACAACCGCAACCAAAGATGAGTTGGCTGAACAGAACAGAACCATCTCAAGCCATGCTATTGCGGCAAGGCAAGGATCCTCTTGGGTCTGCATTTGCGGCGCCGTTTTGTTCTGCACGATGTCCAACTTATCCTAAACCCAAAGAACCCTAGACCCTAAACCCAAAGAGCCCTAAACCCTAAACCCTAAACCCTAAACCCTAAACCCTAAGCCCTAAACCCTTATCCCTAAACCCCTAAACCCTAAACCCTAATTCCTAAACCCTAAGCCCTAAACCCCTAAATAGAGCTGGGCTTCCATGTTCTTGTCCAGACACGCGGCTCATTATTTGGTTTTCACCTTTTCTTGAATGGGCTCTTCTAGGGTTTAGGGTTCAGGGTTTGGCGTTTAGCGTTTAGGGTTTAGGGTTTGGGGTTTAGGGTTTTGGGCTTCTGGCTTGGTTTCATTGCGCTTTCCCGTCCTTGTTGGAGATGTAGCAATCGTTGCTAGCCTCCCTCCCTTGGGACCTCCCCCAACTGGGGCCAAAGGTAGGGTTTAGTGGCGGGTGCAGCCTCCCCGCCTCAATATAGCCCTTATATGGGTAGTTCTCTAAATTAGGGTCCCTTGTAGGAAGGGACCCAAATTTAGAGAACTACCCATATGGACGCTATGCTCCCCAGTTTCTTCAAAGGCCACGCTCCAAACCCAGCTGCACAGCCTTGAAACGACCCAGAGTCCCCTCTAAACTCTAAACCCTAAACCCTAAACCCTAAACCCTAAACCCTGAACCCCTAAACCTCCAAACCCCTAAACCCTAAACCCCTAAACCCTAAACCCTAAACCCTAAACGTGACCACTGAGGATGGTGGCCAGCTGGGGAGCAGCCTGTGCTGCTGGTTTCCTTTGGACAAAGGCTAGGGCTTCAAGGCATGCCAGATCAGCAGTTGGTTATGCCCTCTTGACTCGCGTCTGTTGCAAAGGATCAAGCTTTGATGATGTTTTTGACGTTTTGTCATGCTTTTGTGACGAGCTTTAAACGAAGCAGTGGTTGAAAGACTGACAGAAGCCTTGTCCAAAGTTCGAAGCTCTTGCAACTGATGCAAACTTTGGGATACAGTCTGATCACTGCCACAAATATTCAAACAGAGCCGGGTATGTTTAAAATCAACACCAAAGCGAGATATGGGGTATGGTTCTTTTTTTTGCCTCTGCCGCATTCATTTTGTTTCTTCAGTTCTGTCTCACCTCAACCCCTTAAGCCCCACATCTAAAACACTGAACGCTAAAGCTTAAACCCCTGAAATCTTAAACCCCAAGCACCAAACCCTACAGCCTAAATCCTGAACCCTAAACAAGCGACCCTAAACCCTAAACCCTAAACCCTCAACCCTAAACCCTAAACCCTAAACCCTAAGCCTCAAGGAGCTGGGCGCAGTCGGTGTTGATGACTTTGATGGTCGCAGCCCAGCCTTGGGGCTGTCGCTATGGGATTTTGCCAGCCAACAGGGAGAATATCTACAACCTTAATTTTGGCAAGGTTGGGGTTTAGGGTTTAGGGTTTAGGGTTTAGGGTTTGGGGTAGTTGAAAGTTTTTGGTGCGCTTTTCGAAGAGCCATGGCATCGACGAAAACCACGAAATAGATGCTAATAGAACTACTGTGCATGGTAGACGTGGAGAGAAGTTTTGAGTTTTTGTGATGCTGTTCAAGTGCAGGTACATTGGGCGTTCATGCATCCGTTGGAGATTCTTTTTTGGTTCCGTATGTTATTCTACGTTGGAGCTCTGCTTTGGATGCAGTGGCTTATTGAGAGACGGTTTCACGCTCTGGAAAAGACCTCCGGGCGCAAGTGGGGTGGTCATAAGCTGGCGATCCTCTTGCGGATCCAAGCGTGGTGCATCGGTGTGGCCATGTTCATACTTGGTCCTGCTGTGGCTTTGCTGGAAGCGCCAGACACAGTGGTGAAAGGGTGGGTGCTTTTCATTTTTATGGTTTTGGCCTGGGGCTTGGGAGGCATTTTCCTGTTGGCCAACTTGCTGGGAGCCTCCATCGCACTTTGGGCCCTGTTTGGCTCTGTCTACGATTTGCGTTGTGCTCTTCAGGAACAGAGGCTGCAACATACACCCCAAGACGTTGCGGCGTCCCTGCGAGATGCCTTGCGACTGAACCAATGGCAAGCTATTGCAGTGAGCTGCAGTTTGTTGCTCTCAATAGCGTTGTCACCAGCTGTGTGCTGGCAGGTCCACACCCAGCACACCTTAAGCTTCAGCTGGGATTTGAAACGGGTGTCATATCCAACAGACCACTTGGCCTCAGTTCTTTGCGGCATCACTGTCCAATTCTTTGATGTGCTGGGTAATGCATTGGCCGTCGTGCTGCTCTCCGGCACCCATCGTGTGACAGAGTCAGCTAGCGTAGGCCTTTGGATTCCCAGCAGGCGTTGTTGCTCGGGCAGCACGCAGACCGAGCGAAGCGAAACCTGGAGAAAGACGGTGGAGGAGCTATCTACACGTGGTCTGACGTTGAACAGCCTCATGAAATTCTACGAAGAAGCTTTGTCATAGTTGGGTAACATTTTACATTTTTAAGGGTACTCAAACCCAATAAGGAATATAAATTAAAATTTTTAATACTACCCCAACCATGAACTAGGAAGATCTTTGCTATGTTCATGGGACCTATTGGTCCTATGTGCCTGAGAAGCACAAGACTCGAGACGTCGTCCGCAGAGTGATCATTCCCCTCACTGCAGGGCAAAGATGTGCCTATGCAACCTCCAGCTACAACCGTGATGGCCCGAAAACGCCCAAGATCATGGTCACGCACAACTGGGGCAATCACTTCAAAGACCTACTGGCAGCAATTGTGGCCCATGCGTTGCAAGAGTGCAGCTTTCAAACAGCCGCTAAGATGTTGAGAGACCCTGTTTTCCTTCGCGGCCTTTTGCAGGAGAATGGCCGTTTGAACGATGTCTACTGGGTCTGTGCCTTCTCGGTGAACCAACACGTTTCTATCTGCAACAAGAACGAATCTGATTGGGATCCTATTTTCATGTCCCTGCATCCTACCTGTAGTTGCCCATGTGATCCCATCCGTGACCCCGACAAATCCGAAATGAACAAGTTCGACGACATGATGCGGCACCTGGCCGACAATGGAGGCTGCGAGCACTTGATTGCAGTCGATCAATCCCTGGACTTGTTCAATCGGGCTTGGTGCATCGCAGAGATTGCAGAAGCAAGGCGCCTGGGCATGCGGCAAAGCTTGAAGCTCATCTCAAACAGGGTTCTATTGCGGCGAGAAAGGAGTCTCAGGAATCTGGACATCGCACGCATGAAATGTGCTGATAGCAGTGACAAAACAATGATCCTGGAGAAGATTGAGCAGTACATTTCTGTGGAACGCTTCAATGAGCAACTGCGCTTCCTGATCTTTGACGAGCGGTCAGGCTGGCTGAAACTTTCTAAGGGCTTTAGGAGGGACCCTTAATAGGGACCCTTGTAGGTTATTGGGGTGAATATGGAGACTACCTGGCTATATAAGGGGTATATAAGGACTATGCAATGGCTATTTAAGGTAATGGGATTCAGGGTCCCTATTAAGGGTCCCTCCTAAAGTCCTCAGAAACTTGAATTTCGGTGAATCCTATACTTGCGGGAGCAAGGGGTTAGTAACTAGGTAATAACCAGGGTTCTAAGTCACCTAAACTTGTTTTAAAGTGACATTTAGCCTACTTATGGCCCGACCTATCACCAATTACCAAGTAGTTCCTCCATACTGTAGCAAAGGCCGCGAAGAACTTCAGTTTCTCTAGCTTCAGGCCCCGTGCATCATGTTTACTTTGGCTTTTCGAAGGCCAAGGTGAATAAGGGTACTCGAAAGGTTAGTACAGTATGGGTGTAGGTGTCCATTTTTTTGGAAGGAATCCTAGTATTCAGGGTCTATAATGTCTATATGAAGGTTCCCCCATTTTTGGAGACACCCACATGGCCCATTTCCAGATACACGGACTGACAGTTAACGACAGGAGATGGGCCATATAATCATGTAGGAACTTTTCGATCCGAACCCCTAAACCCTAAAACCTAAAACCCTAAAACCCTAAACCCTCATCGCCAGGACTCTTGAAGTCTTGGAAGACCGCTGACAACTTGCAGCGGATGGGCGAGGCGGGTCGGCTCCTTCGGTGGAGCTTCTGGGCTTTGGAGTACCATACTTTAATACTTTTTTGGGGGACCTGTTCCTGAAAGGAACCAATATGATATGAAAGTCTATACTTTTTTTCTCCCTGGTGACTTCAAAGCCTAGGCTTGGCAGATGCTGGAACTGGCAGGGTCTGGAGGTTTTGGAGCACCGGACACTCAGAGGTTGCGTGGAAGGGTCTGTGGACATGCGTGTGAAAGTAGTCGCTGCGAAACCCTTAAGGCCTTTTATGCCATACATGCACCATGGCAGATTTGTGGAACCGAAGGTCAAAAGTCTAATCAAATTTTGACTGCCTGGGTTCCTTGGATCTTTGTTGGGGGCATGCCAAAGTCCTCTTGCCCCCAAGCCCTGAACCCTACACCCCGAAACCTAAAGCCCTAAACCCAAATCCCTAAACTCAAAGCGCTAAACCCTAAACCCCAAACCCTAAGTCCTAATCCCCCCTGCCTGCCGCACCGCTCAGGTTTCCACCGCGGCGCCGGGATCTGTTTCTGTCGTCGAGTCACTTTAAGTATCCCCTTCGCGCAAAAGCCGCCGACCAGAAGGGGATTAAATTGCAGTTGTTAGTTGGATGTTTCCAAGCACAGGGGGATTGGAGCCTAAATTTGGACGATTCCTGACATAATGGGACCCCTGAAAAGGACCTCTGTTTTCGGAAACATCCAGTTCGTTCTCATCACCACTCCTGACATGGCGTCGTCTTGTGAAGGATAGTCACTTTAAGTACCCCCTTCGCGCAAAAGTCGCCGACCAGAAGGGGAATTAAATTGCCGTTGTTAGTTGGATGTTTCCAAACATAGGGGGATTAGAGCCTAAATTTGGACCATTCCTGACATAGTGGGACCCCTGAAAAGGACCTCTACTCTCGGAAACATCCAGTTGGTTCTCATCACCACTCCTGACATGGCATCGTCTTGTAAAGGAGAATCATCCAGCGCCGCTCAAGAGGAGGGGGAAACCAGGGGGGTGACTACGGAATAGGAATGAGATGGGAATAGAATAATCACCTCCCCCTGATATTAAGCCATCCTCCCCCCTAATCTTAAACATTCCTATATAGTATTCTGTATTATAATGGGAATTTTCAATGTTAGGGGGGGAGGAGGGGTTCAATATTAGGGGAGTGGATTAGACGTTTAAGGCCTGCTTGGGGCTATATGGGGAAAAAAACTTTTGTAAGGTAGTTCCCTGAACCCTAAACCCTAGACCCTAAACCCTAAAGAGTAGTTTTCCTAGACCATCCCCACGAGCTTGTTCATTGTAACAGCAACGCGGTTTACTTCCCCGGGGATTTGCACTGCACAGCTTCCCAAGCGCAGATGCACCAAAGTAAAAACCATGCATGTTCTGAGTCAGGAACTTGAGCTAATTTAGCAGAATCAGGAAAGCGTATTCACTGAGTATCCCGGTTTTCGTAACCCTTGTACAGCTCGTATAAAAACCCTTAGCAAGGACGGTGGTGTTCTTAAACTTTTCCAGAACCCATTTAAGACCCTTCTAAACGAGCCTCGGAGAAACCTTCTAGCTTTCTTGGACTCAAAATGAAGGTTTTCCAACCTTCTCAACGCCGAGGTGAAGCCGTGCAGGACCAGTTTAAAATTCCCTATAAGACCCTAGCAAGGCCCTTTCAACACCCTTCCAACTTCAACAGTCCTAACCTAACCTAAACCATGAAAGACTTAGAACGTCTATTGTAAAAACTCAAAACTGTAAGACCCCGACTCTATATAAACCATAACAGACGTCGAGCATCGATTCTGCAACCCCTACTGCAAGGCCTGAACGACTTTGAACATCTATATTTCTGACCAGGCCACGTGTCCCGGGCCTCTGACTCCAGCGCTGCGCCGCCTCAGCGCTGCCGGGCTGTCGTTCTTTATTATCTAGGGTTTAGGTTTACGCACCCTAAACCCTAAGCCCTTAAGGGTTTTGAAGGTTTAATGATAGAGCTTAGAGCTTCGGCTTGATGTTGGTTTCAGGCATAGGAGTTAGGGCTCATAGTGTTTAGGGTTCTAGGGTTTGAGGGTTTCTTAGTGATCTAGTTTAGAGGCCCCGTATGATTAACACCTGGCTAACCGTAAAACGCTCATTTTGGATTTCTGAGGGACGGCTTCGGCATTCAGGATGCAAGATTTAGGACTTAGGCCTCGGGTGACGGATGGAGGTTCAGGGTTTTTAGCTGAATCGAGCAGCCCTAAACCCTAAACCCTAAACCCTAAACCCTAAACCTTAGACCCTAGACCCTAAACCCTAAACCCTTCACTTTGGGTCTCGTCTTCGTAGAAGTGTGTAGGGAGATGTGTGCTGTTTCTCTCGTGCCCGCCGGACGCCTGCTGCACTGCTGCATAATCTGATCCCCAAGGCAAGTCCTATACCGTAGACCCTAGACCCTAAACAGGCTAAACCCTAAAAACCCCTTAACGCTAAAACCGCCAAACCCTAAAGCCGTTAAACCCTAAACCCCAAGCCCCAAATCCCAGGCCCTAAACCCTGAAGCTCTAAACCCTACAAAAGCGCCCTTCACGCGAGAGCTCCTAACACCTCATGCAAAACCCAGGGCGCATCCCTGCGGCCGCTCTTCGCCGGGGCCGAGCTGAGGCGTTATGGTTGAATTCGGGTGTCGAGGTTCGGCAGTACGCGTTCAGGGCTTCGGGTTTGGGAACCTGCGCCGCGGCGATATCAAACTGTCGCAAGCCCTGCTGCAGAGTTTATAATTTGGGGTCTTCATTACCCTAAGACCCTAGAAAACAAGCAAACCATACCCTCACACCATAGACAAGCTTGTCAGCAAAACCCGTATTCAGCAGAAATTCTGAACCCCAAACAACCTTTGTTACCAAAGTCGGTACTAAGCCTTCATCAACCTTCCACCCTGCGCAAACTTTCTTGCCCAAGCCCGCATTAAATCCCTAAGCCTTAAACCCCAAACAGCTTTATCGCCAAAGCTCGCGATAAGCCGTAAATCTGCAGCCGTCAACTCTACGTCCTCACCCTGGAAAGTACTGAAAAGAACCTTCCGCTGCTTGGAGGTTCATGGGTAGTTATAAGTAGGGTTGTAAGTCCCTTAATATGGGTTATAACAAAAGTTACCCTACTTATCACCCCACTTCTAACTACCCATGAACCTCCAAGCAGGTAAACCCTAAACCTTAAACCCCAGAACCCCAAACCCTAAACCCTAAACCGTGCAAAGAACCCTCCGCTGGAGCCAGCACAGGCCGTGCCTCCTTCACGGGGATTTCTGGCGGGGAAACTTCTGGCAGAGCGAGGCCGAGTTAACATGTCTAGGGTTTAGGGTTTAGGGTTTAGCGTTCTCACATGTCTAGGGCAAGTGGGTGGGTTCCGGCATGTTCGGGCATGAGGGAATGAATGTAGGGGCCTTCATAATAAGAATTTCTGGGGCCCACTATACTATGATTGTAATAAGGAACCCCCCAAGATAGTATAGGNNTAGGTAATTATTTAGGCCCGTATATTTGAGTCTAGGGGTGTTGGTTGATTGAGGTCGCGAGGGTCTCTTGGGGCGTAGGTTTCAGGCACTGGTCAGGTGCCGAATTTCGGGTTTTTTTGCGTTAGGCTTTAGTGTTTAGGCCTCGCTGGGTTCTTAAAATTTGAGGACTTAGACCAAGCACTGAAACTGAAGCCTCGTCGTGCTGAGCCCAAAAACCCCGCAGACCCATTGAAAAAGAAGCCTGAACACATCAGGCCTGCTACCGGGATCTATGATTTAAAGGGAGCCGTGTAGGAGTGGGTTTTGTATGGGCCCTTGTTCCACCCCCTGTAGATCCCCCTGATTGAGCCCTTATGTAAGCCTTCAAGAAGTCCTTCATAGCCTTGTAGCCATGTAGAAGCACCCTTCCACCTTCTCCAAACTCACATCAGCAACAAGCTTGTGAGGGATCCTTTCAGCGACACCCTAAACCCTAAGCCCTAA